AATCCATTTTATAAATTTCAAGGGAAATCCAAACCTATTTAATACAGCAAACATATACTGTTTATATATTTTATCAAAAGCTTTTTCCGCATCTAAAGATAAAATGACAAATTGATCTTTATTTTTATTCAACTCTATTGAATATACAACTAACCTAATGTTCTCAGCTGCTTTCATAGTTTTTATAAATCCTGCCTGGTCATTCTTAATAACAAATGGTATCACTTGTTGTAAACTATTTTCTAGCACTGCTGTTAAGATCATTAACATCTTCATCTATTGCTTGTTAATCTTCAAAAACAGCTAATACCCCCAAATCCTTTAGTTTTTCTATTAAAGTTCTTATTCCCTCTAGAGGATCTTCCAAAAGAATCATCACTAGATCATCAGCAAATGCCTCTAAATTATAAGCTTCTCTTTTAATCGTCACTCCAGCAATTCTCTCATCTCGCCTTATATCGTTATTCAATACTTCCAAAGCTATAATAAATAGCAATGGTGACAAGGGGCATCCTTGTCTAGTCCTTCTGTGTATCTCACAAGGTTTTGTTAATTCCCAATTATCTGTGCCCTTTGTGAAGTGTAGATTGATTTTACCCATTTAATAAAATTCTCACCAAAGTTCATATCTTCCAAATTTTTAAACAAAAAAATCCAGTTCAAATTGTCAAAAGTCTTGTCTACATCAAGAAAAATCAATGCTGCTTGCTTTTTATTATGTTGTTCTAAGTATTCCAAAATATCCAATACATTTCTAATATTGTCCCTCAGCTGTCTTTTAGGTAAAAACCCACACTGATCTTCATGAATAAAATCCTGTAAAACCATCTTCATTCTCTCAGCTAAAATCATTGTAATTCACTTATAATCATTATTTAATAATGATATCGGGCGGTAATTTTTTGGTGAGGTCAAGTCTTGACCTTCTTTAGGTATTAATGCTATATTAGTCTCTGTCCAAGTATCTGGTACCTTTCCAGTCTGTAGAATGGAATTCATCATTTTTTGCAATGATTGTAGTAATTCATCTTCAAAATGTTTATAATAAGAGGCTGGTAAACCATCTGGTCCAGGCACTTTCCCTATTTTGACCTTTTTTATACCTCCAAAAACTTCCCTTGTTATTCTAGGCCCATTCATTAATTGTTTCTGTTTTTCTGTGATCCATGGTCAATTTTATTTCTTTAAATGTCCATCAATCTTTTCCAGGGAAACTTGTACTTTGTATAATTTAGAGTAATATTGATGAAATATTTTTTACATCTTTAAGTTATCTGTAATTTTAATATTTTTTTCTCTTTTTCTTTCCTCAGTTTATATGCCAACCATTTCCCTGGCTTATTTGCAAATTCAAAATTATTTTGATTTGCATAGTTAATTTTTACTTCCATTTCTTATTGTTAACATGGACAATTACTGTTCTAGGGGTTTCATTTGTTGTGAAATAATTTTCTTTTCTGAGGATTTCTTTAATTCTTCTGTGGAGTCCTTGGTACACTCTGAGCTTGGTTGTTTGATTGCATGTGTTTCATTACCTAACTAGGTAACATCATCAGTGCTAGTGAGTGTGGGGCTTGCTCCCTGTTTATATACAGTAGTGTTGGTGGGGGTATGGTTTTCTCTTTGGTAGTTCTTTGATTAGGGTATTATTTTCTGCCTGATTGTTTGTCTGGTGTTAATTCCTACTGAGTTGGGTGTAAGCTGCTGGAGAGGATGTGTTCTGGTCTTTTTGTTTCCTTCTTAGCTTTCTTATTTTCTCTTTTGAATGGTGTGCAAATGTGGTTTGTTTCTATGTATTCATTGATGGCTGATGTGTCTGAATGCCAAGCTTCCAGGAATTCTCGAGCATTTTTGGATTTAGCTTGGTCTAGGATGCTCACAGTTTCCCAGCTG